CAAACCGATCAAACGACTCGTAATTTTTTTTATTTTTTCAATCTTAAATATCCTGCGATTTTGGGTAAACATGTTTAAAAGCTCTGATGACGGGTTCCGAAAACAAATCGTTTAGATTCGTCCATTTTCCCCTGGAGCTTTTGACTCGGGTGTTGTTTATCCTAGCTAACATTACGGTTGGCTGTTATTATAACCGTTTGCTATTATCAGTCTAGCTGTACCACCTGTACCTATCGCGGCAAATTCTTAGCTTTTCCCTTCCAATCCGCCTTTCCCCATAACAAAGATCTGCAATTAAATCGATCACGCCCACTCGCCGCCTTTTATGCTCAATTCCCAAGAATTCTCCAGGAAAATGGGCGATCCACCACGTCTCATACATTCCATGGGAGCGAGGAATCGAGTTTTTATTGGAAAAGTTGGTTTAAGTTTTTTCTCACTTGGGCTATAAAATTCGGATGAATTGGTCTAATGAGTTTAGAAGGCGTCACCCAATTGCCATCTGCCCCCAAAGTATTGCCTTCATCGTTGACTATTTTCGGTGCCAAGTACCTCGTCTGGAGGATTCGGTGCCATTGTGACCCAGATCATGTCACAAGCAAACTTCCAAGTTTTTCTAGTTTTTTTTTTTCAATCGAGATTTATTGGACAATTGGGAAAATTTATTGGGTGTATCTGGAGCCGAGTATTCCGAGTTTTATGATCAGTAAAAACTATGATTGTCAATGAAACAATAGTTTGGGTTTTTTCACTCTATTGTCATGACTTTTTCGTGGCTTTCCGGCGGGGGGTAGGATGACCCGGACACGGTTCAAATTTACTGTTGGAAAAATTTTTTAAGAACGACTGAGGGACTCCAAATTTCGGTAGTGGGTTTTATTTTTTGGAATATTCGGGTGATTCTCGAGTTTCAAATTTATTGAGAGGTATACATTGATAAATCAATTATTATTTAATCTGAAATGATAATTTCCTTTAATTTTCAAGATAAAAAAAAATTTACGCATGTCATTGGGAATAATAATAATAATAAATCACGAATTTCCATAATTTCCACTAATTTGAAGAGATAAAATAGTAAATTTTCACCGCGAAATTTTCTAAACTTTTCAAACGATTTTCTCATTAACGGAAATTTCCGGAGACATTTCTAAAAAATTGTATATTCCATAGATTTTCAGAATTCGTATTATTTGAAATCGAAATAAGAATGAAATATAAATAGAAATCCACAGGCAATTCTCGCTGAAGTTAAGAATAAATCGGTTCACGTAGGGTTGATTGATCTTCACCGACTTCCCCTGAGATTGACTGAGAATTTACGATTATTTCTCTTCACAAATAATCAGTTTGGAATTTTGCGGTGAGTTTGTGGATACCGAGGCCCTTTAACCCAGTGGGAGATGTAGAGATTGAATTAAACAGTTTTGAAAGGCCGGTGATATATCAATGTTCGGGTGGATCGATCAGATAAAATAAAAGGTGGGGTATACCGAGGTGCAACCGCGATGACCCCTGGTACCATCAATTCTTTGGGGCATCTCGGGTGAATTACGAGAGACCCATGACTCCTGGATTTCATTGCATTCCTCTTTAGTCATCTCTCCCCTCATGTTTACCAACACCCATTTACGGATTTCAGATATCAGGACAATCCATTTATATCGTTCAAACTTTAACAACTCCGGTTTAACACCTCTGAATCCCTTTTTTATAATTTCCCTCAAATCTCAAATTTCACTGATTCTAAGATAAAATGATTTTTATCAACAATTTTTCCAACTTTTTTTCTTATTTTTTCTTATTTTTTTTTATTATTCCTCTTATCTAAAAATCAACCAACACGTAAAAAATCATTTGTGTTAATAGAATAAATTACTTCTCTTGAAATAAATATGAATATTTCTCCCCGTGTAGTAAATAACAAATTATATAATCCCAGTATGGAATAAATAATTTATTCTATTCAAATGAATCATTCATTTGAATGAAATGAATTAATTTTTTGACACAATCAAATGATTTTTACTGGAAAAATTCATCAAGCTAATTTATTTATAATAATCGTGCGTTTGAAAATAAATATTTCAATTTAATTTAAAAAATCCATTTAACGACGAATAAAAATATCAAGGCATACGGACTTACATGAGCAGTTGCTTTCCCCACTATCTGTTATTACTCACTCTAAGGGGTATCTCGGAGTTTCAGCTTGATAAAGCATTTAACCATCACTTGACTATAAATCTCTGGTGAGACGCCTAGAAAGCCTTTCGTTTAAATTACCCAGTGATAATTGGATGCGCTGCGGGTGTTTTCAAAGAGAAAAGATCCATCTTTATGGGAAACACTGGCTGGATCACCTCGGTTTAACCAGTTCGCTGTTTGCTATTGAGACTCGTTAAGAAACCATCACTCGGTTGATTGATTACGAAATCAGGGGTAAAAATTTATTTACCGAGGGTTAAATATCGGTACTCTGCATGCACAGACTCTTGAGACGACCCTTAACTTCCGGCTTAGTGTAATTGGCCTTACCAGGTTGAGGGGGCACTGTGGGCTCAAGTACCTTGTGGACAATTTCAGGGGTTAAAATAACACGGCTTGGGGTACGTAAATAAAACAGGGGAAACACGTGTTCATGATCGGGGGAATGGATTCTTCAAATTTCATGGTCTCCACATATGGAGAACAGTTTAAACTTTTAACATTTGCCCTTGAGTTCTTGGTGTGTGCTGGGACTAATGCTTTTGACACGAAGATTAATTGTTTGGGAAATTTTCGGTGGTGGCACGGGAAAAAGGGCCGATAGGGCCACTAGGAAAAAATTCAGGGCCATGTTGAGGAAGAATCGGAATTTACTCTTGCTAAATTCATTTAATGGTTGGGAAAAAAAATTTTATAAGCGTCCACTCTAATTACTCTCGAACTTTTACTCGCTACAACTTTCTCTCGATATACCAATAATTTTTTAATCTTTCAAATGAATATTTACGATAATTCGATATTTTTTGGGTAAAATATTTATAATTAATATATATTTTTCCATACGGGTATTTTTCTTCTGCATTTTTCCTCCGATTTTTCCCAAAAATTCCATAGCTACTCGATTTAA